CCGCCCCCAATGCGGTGGAGCTGGTGTGGGTTTGGTGGCGCCTGTCCTGCCCTGCACTGCCGCCGCCCCCCGCGGGACCCCGCGCAGGCCCCCTGCGGGACCCCGCCGTGCCGGCCGCGTGATGGCCCCTGGCTGTGCCCGGCCCCGCCAGGCCGGGTCGTGTTGTGGGCCCCCGCCGCCCCCCGCGGACCTACTCCTTCCTCCTACCCCCGCCCTGCCTCCCGTTGGCTGCGCCGGAGCTGCTGCTGCTGCTGCCTCCTCTTCGCTCGTCATCGCTCTCTTCTGCGCCGTTTCGGGGGTCGCGGGAGGTCGGCCGGCGCTCCGCCGCTGCTCCCCACGGCCCGGAGCTCATGAAAGTTGACCCGCGCGCGCTCCCGCCGGGACCCGAACCCGTCGCCGCCGCAGCCCGGCGGCGCAGCCGTGGAATGTGTTTCTCCACGGCGCCAGCAGCGGGGCTGGGCTGGGCGGGGCTCGCGGGCCGCGGGGCTTCTCACGCTTGATCGCGCACTTGGCTCATGACGCCCTGGCGCCCCCGCCCCGCCCCGCCCCGCCGCGGGCACGCGCGCCCGTACACTGTAGGCGGGGCTGCATTGTGTACTACAACGAGGCGGCGATGGACGGCCGCTCATCCCACGATGTACCGCTCGGTAAGCGGGGCGCGGCCTCGATGTGCTGCTGCTGCTGCTGCTGCTGCTGCTGCTGCTGCTGCTGCTGCTGCTGCTGCTGTTCCTGCTGCTGTTCCTGCTGCTGTTCCTGCTGCTGTTCCTGCTGCTGTTCCTGCTGCTGTTCCTGCTGCTGTTCCTGCTGCTGCTGCTGCAGCAACTCCTGCTGCAGCAACTCCTTGCGGTAGCGGCGGCACGACCACGGAGCTGACGGGCGGGCGCCGGGGATTCGAGTCGAATGAGATCGACTTCACGCGTTGGGTGCCACCACTGCCTCGTGGGGAAATGGACATCGACATCGTGTCTCGCGAGAACACGAGTTACAACCGCCCCGCCCCGCCCACGGCACCGAGAATGCTCATCACACTAGGAGATAACAGCTGCCCTCTCTCTCTGTGAACGGCCGGAG